TATTATAAATGGAGTTCAGTCAAACTGGATTAATGTTACGAGTGGGTATCTCAGGGCTCAGTATTAGGACCTTTGTCCTTCTTGATTTATATCAATGACATAGATGAAGGAATGGTAGATAGATTATTTAAATTTGCTGATGGCATTAAGGTTTTGGGTGTTGGTGGCTGTAAAGAGGATGCTATTGCTTTACAAAAGGTTTTGGATTATTTGATGAGTGGGATGAATAGTTTGTTTTGAATTTGGAGCAAAGCTACACGAGGGCTATCTGCAATAGCCGTCCCTAATTCAGTAGTGACAGACTAGGGGAAGTCATCTAGTCATCACCACCCACCACCAATTATTGGGCTGCTCTTTTACCAACAACTAGTGGGATTGACCGTCACATTATAATGCTTCCAAAGCTGAAAGGACAAGCATATTTGGTGGGACGAGGATTCGAACCTGCGTCCCACAAATTGCGAGTCGAGCGCCCTAACCATCTGGGTGAATATATAGCGCACGGTTTTTATTCATAATAAATGCAAGGTAATGCATGTGGAATATTACAGTTTGCATTCTGAGTATAATTTTTATAGGAATAACCATAATAGTGTTATGGAAGAAAACAAAAATTGCTATTCTGGTTGTTCAGTCTCTTAAACCATTCAAGGAAAGTCCTGTTGCTAGTGGTAGGAAAAAAATGATTTTAGTTTCTATCAACAAAAGTACTGATTACAAGTTTAAAGAAGTTATAATGTCATTATATAGGTCATTGATTAGGCTACATTTGGAGCACTAGGTTTAGTACTGAGTTCCATACCTTAGAAAGGACGTTGAATTGCTAGAAAAGATTCAAAGGGCTCCTAGGATGATGCATGAGATTGAAAGGTTGCCATACAAGGATGGTTTAAGTTCTCTGAACTTGTTTTTTTTAAAGAGGGGACATATTTGAAGTGCTTAAGATTGATAATGGAATTTCTAGTGTCGATGCATTATATATTTTATATATTTAATGGTGAGGATGGCAAAACTATGGATTACAAGTATAAATTTTGGAAGGGGAAGGAGTCATTTTTGACTAAGACAGCTTTATTTTTCTGGCTGGGAGGTTGGCTTTTGGAATGGGATGCTTTCGGATGTGGTGGGTGTAGTTAATCTAAGATAATTTAAAGGAAAGTTTGATAAATATTTGAATGATAAAGACTGACTATGAGTTTTAGTGCTTAGTTTAATTTAGTGAATAGGACAGCCTAGATAGACCAAATGGTCCCTTGTTGTCCTATAATTTTATGTTATGTTATGATTTAGCTCATGTTTAGCGTGATGTAGGTACCTATGTAGGATGCCCGTCTGAGGTACAACTACTGATACATGGTTCTTATTCTTTTACAACTGGTTTGGAGCTCTAACTTCATATCATGTCATAACAGAAACTGCCACTGTTATGCTGAAAATATCTCTCACACCCAGGAGATATATTTCATACTTCTCCAGGAACTCTCTCTGTGCACTTATCCACCAATATGTATTTTAAAACTGTAGATGCTATTTTCGGGTATGCCATTCAATGAAGATGGCACAAATTATCCGTGTAAGTGGCCAGATCATTAGTGATGCTCCTCTTTAAGTATTGAATTTGGCCCAATGGATTGCCCTCTTTTGCACCAGGTTGAACCAGTGCACAACTTGATAGTGACTGTCTTGCAGTCTCAAATTTATGTATCACCAAAACTCAAGATCAGTGGTCTGTTCTGGAGTACAGTTATTCCATGCAGTTGTTCGCTTGATATGCTTCAGGCCTTTCTTTGCTGTACCTTTGAATATTTGGAGCATAATTTGCTTTGCTTCACTTACAGGGGCCTGTAGTTTTGGCCAAAGCCTCTCTCTTATGAATTCTCCTCCAACACCAAGTGGAGATGCGATATTGTGGGTACATGGTGGTAGCAATGCTCAGGGATCCAAATCCTTAGATAAATTATTAGTCCCTGTTTCAGGGCAGCAGAACGCCGAATTGCCCTAGACATTGCATCTATCGATCCTGCTAAGCCCATGGTTTCCATGTGACTCATGGCCATCCTGGTAGGTTACCTTCTGGCTCAGAGAGGCTTTGTACTGCCGCATGGATCATCATCATCATCATTAGGGGCCCACCATCTCACCTGCCAGTGAGATAGCTCCTGTTGATATACATTGTCTATCAACTGCACCTCAAGCCTATCTGTACTTTCTCTAATGGCTTCGAGCACAGCTAAAGTGGGATTACTCTGGCTGGTGAAGGTCTGGGAGTCCTTTACAGGCTGTCCCATTCAATACCAGACTCGCAAGGCACTATACAATTCTGAAAACTCTCAGTATATATCATTTGAGGTTGATATTCAGTGAAAGAACTCGATCGATTGATCTGGGTGCACCAGATGTTAACAACTCTCCTTCCTGTGTTGTCCGCCTCGACGAGAAAGAAATCATGAATCTGTGCATAATATGTGAAAAATGTCTTACATCCAGGACCTGACAACTCTGTTAGACAACCATTCCCTTTCAGCTGTGGAATGTTTAAATACACAAGAGTTACAGAAATGCTAATACATGCATCAGACAAAAAACACAAAACTCTATTATAATATAACCTGTGATCACAGCACCAAAGATTCTCTTCCTATCTATTCTGTGATATTTTCAGATAATGCTTGCTTTTTATAAGACTGATAAGATAGGTCTGCTGAAAAATGGGAAGTTCATCAAGATGTTTACTGCAAAATAATTACGTATTCTCTGACTCAATGAGTTCCCAAGAAATTTAGAGAGCGTGAACACAAATGTACAATCACAGTATATAATCTTTATTCAAACAAACATATGTATTTTACTTGCCGTAACGGACAATTGCCTTTACTGGAGAGTTAAGTTTGAATTTCATGATGCACAGTAGACTGACTAGCCTGACTAGCTCAGAGAGTTTGTATACAAGATTAATACTGTTGATTTCATTTTAAGACTATATGAATCTCATGTTACTTGATTAACTCCATAACACAAGGCTTACTAAGAGTGACGAGTAATTCCCAATGAAACATGAGGCAGATCATGATCTCAAGAGAACTTCAAAGTGCCAGTAGAAAAAATAACTGTCTAACTTCAAATACTGCAGGTGATCTTGCAGCTGTGATATGCATGCCTATCATATGTTTTTTAACATAATTAGTAACATAGAAAATTTAAATTTTTTGTTTAATTAGTTTCTATGCAGTTTTGGCGTAAACATTAGGCCCAGAAAACTGTCAAAACTGTTTTGTTTTAAGTGTCTTTGTTTTCTCTATAGCACATAATATCTACTCTGCCCAAGGGGATTTTGTGGCAATGTTACGTATCAATGTTGAAAGAGTCAACAACTCAAACATCCTTCACTCTCTGAGTGGATGATCTTTGTATATTACTGTCAGTGAATGCTGTAAGAGAATGACCTATCATGTGGTGATGCTATCATAAAATAAAATACAAGGCTTCTTGCTAAATTGGAACCTTTATATGTTCAGACTTCTCTTTGGTTAGTGATGTGAATAGCTCAGCAGAGACCCCTCTCGGGAGAAAAATGCTATTGATCAATTCACAGGTCTAGTAGAGGAAATTGGCTAATGTCTTATGCAGGTACAAACACTGTTTTCACTTTGTTTTTAATAAAGATTCTATCATTTAACATCACATGTCCAGTCTCATTTTTTCTATCATAGCTGAAAACTCAGTTAAGTTTTCAAATTCAGATTACTCTGTAATTTTCTTGTTCGATCATCCTATTATTAAGTGGATCTATTTAATACTTGCAAGAATATCATTTCACCTGAGAATACCATACAGCTATCTTTAATAGATGAAAACAAAAGGTCCTACTTTAGGTGAATGACACAGAACAATAGGTAGATAGAGCAAAATGAGCTTAACAACCTTCTTGACCAATATGATGTGCGAAAACTGTACATGCTTGCAAAATAAAAAAAAATCAAACAATTTATGAATACAAGGATGTAGAAAATATACAGTAAGTGTGTATACCACCATATGTTTTTAACTTTTCTATTCAGTGGATCTATCCCATCGCTCTAATGGGAATCAGGTTAACCCTAAAATACCCCAATACAACTACTAAAAACATTCTAAAAACATGACGACACTAATGTTAGACATTGTTATTCCAATTATATACTTTCTTACACATTTATTTAGTTTCCTGAGTCAGAGTGATCACTAGTATCTAACTGATATCAATACTTATATAACAAATACCTTTTCTTACAATTTTCAGCATGGATATAATCAGACAACTAATGCTTACTTTTTTGTACATTTGTAAATTTAGTGATGGAAACTTATCTGGTCAATTCGTCATTCAAAGCGATTTTCCGATTGGTCGATTCGCATGTGCAGGATAGATGAAAAATGTTTTGATTGGTTGAAGAAACTGATGATCAAATCAAACAAAATGCCATTTCCGTATAAGGTATATAAATCGGTAACATGCTGTAGAAACTGTGCGCAAGAACAATTTCGAAAATGTTTACGATTATGTCAGTGCTGAAACGTGTTCACATTTTCAAATGTCTTTTATAAATGTAACTAATATCATTTTAACGTAACAAGCGAGGAGGCAGTTGCCACCTCTGCCTACCTGTAATTTACGGCGCTGGCTCTATATTGAATCCGAGATGCACAAATTAAGAGAAATCTACAATAAAACATCCACACTTTGGTGACTCTTTTTTATTATTATCGCAACTGCTATGCATTGTTTTGAAATGGTTCGCCAGCTTTCGACGTTTAAATTGTAACTTTAAATTTTTTTTAAATATGTTGTAAACATGAAAAGATACATTCTCAGAAGAAATATGTTAAAGCATCAACAATTTTAAAACTACATTTTATTTAACTATTTCTATAAATTATTTTAAAAAATGGTTTCAGCTTTCACAATGCTTTGTTCTTATTATTTATTTCTTTATTAAATTTTCGTTCATATTTTCCCCGCCAGAGTTGAGTGTGTGAAAAATGGCAGCTGACTTTGTCGATGATTTTCCTATTTGGGGGCTATTACCAAAGAGAGAAACTGGCGTTTCAGCGTTTCTCAGTAAATACCCAGAATATGATGGACGAGGTGTTATAATTGCTATTCTTGACTCTGGAATCGACCCAGGTGCACCTGGTTTACAGGTAATTGACTACAAATACAATTTAGTAAAAATATTTTATAAGTGTCACTACTCTCTCACTAGTCTTGGTCTTATACTCAACAGTCTCATGTTTCTTTCGGTTTCGCTCACACTCTTAGTCTCAGATCTCTTATTTTTTGTCCCTAGTTTTTGTGTAGTCTGTACTGCTTTATCTCTACTAGTAGTAGAGCTGATAAGTATATCTTATCAACCCTAGTATTAGTATTACAAATACTTTTGAGCTAGTGCTGATATTGATACTGTGAGTGTGATAGTGATGTTGCTTGGTTATTGCACAGTCACAGATTTTGAACTACTGACTTTCTCAGTTTCTGGTTGTTTTATAGATAGAAAAACACTAGTTTTTAGTACGTGCTATAATTTTCAAAATCAGGACTAAGACAGTAGATATTTACATTTAACACTTGCATTTTTTTAAGGATAAGTATGATAGTCACTCAGCTTCAAGAGCTGAAAACAGTGCAAGTCCAAGGTCCTGACCTACCAATCTTGTCATTGGCCCAACCCATTTTTCCACTCATAAATCAGCTGGACCTCTGATAAATAGGGATAATTATACCCATTCATAGTAATCAGTAGATTCTGTCTCATTATCCTAAATTTCAGCGTAATTTGTAATATTTGCTCACTGTTTATTCCTTCAACAGTACATGATAAAAATTTAAAAGTTCCTGGCTTCACGTTTATTCAACATTGTTGTTCATGAGTTATTTCTATTAATGTTTATTATCCTTGGTGCTCAGAGCTTATGACATAGAACATTGATAACAGTCAGTCAGTTGATTTTTACCTTTCTAAATGTTTGAAAGCTTTTGATATAAACTTTACTGTAAATAATCTGCCAACATTTATATGTTTTTACAGAAGAATAATTATGAACAACTGTGGCCATGAGCCGATTTAAATATGGTTTTGTGTCTGAAAGTAGACCCAACATGGTAGTTATTGGTGTCAAACAACCAAACTAAAGATGAACTGACAATGAATGCAGATCAGCCAAGGATGAAAATTATGACAAATTGTCTAGAAAATGATAAATCATTTGTGAAAACTTTGTGTTTTAAAGATAGACACTTGGTCTGATGTTAATAAATACTAATGTTTTAAGGTTTGAAAACAAAATTATTCAAACCTGTATTTATTTGTTTCATATGGTCCCTCCATTTTTCTTTTGGGCCTGTCAAAATTTTGTTTGGAAGGTTCTGGAGCTCCATTTTTAGTGCTATTTTCAGCCCATGATCTGTTATTTCTGGTGTGTGTTGCTTTTTTAAGTGTTCTTCATTTCAGGAATTCAGATAATATTTATTTATTTATATAAAAACCATTCATATTCAAACTGTATGTATTTTAACTGCTGCTAAATGTTTTCATACTTTTGCATCAAATCTGTGAGTAGCAGATAATGTTTTACATTTGACATACAAAACTGCATTTGAAAATTAATAATAGCCAGTTAACAGTATAAAACATGCAAGTAAAACAGCGGAGGGAAAAATCACATAACACTGTACAGAATATGCAAAATTGATGCATATTCAAAAAAGTTCAGGTAAAATGTAGATGCTGAGACAATACTTTAAATTCACAATGGGAAGTGCTGAATATATTGGTTAATAAGATGTTACATTCCTATAGTACATTCAAATATAATTTTTTTTTATTTGTTATTGTTACTCTAAAGGAATAAAAATAAAATTAAAGTTTTATTACATAAATTAATTTTTTTTTTTTTTAGTAAAACAAGCCATGGAGAAGCAAAAATCATTGATATGGTAGATGCCAGTGGAGCTGGAGATGTGAAAACTTCAACTATTGTAGAGGCTAAGGATGGAGAAATTGATGGTATTACTGGTAGAAAGTTAAAAGTAAGTTTTTAATATTTTAAAAACTATTTTGGATAGTCCAGTAGTCAGCTCTTACAATTCTGTCAAGTCTCATTTTTATAAAGTGTTCTGAGAATAAGAAATTAGTTTCTTTACTTCAGGTCTTGACCAACTATTGAAGGCACTAGCAAATAGTTGCTAGTCATTTTTTTCCCACTAGTAGGTTCAGAACTATTACTAGCAACAACATTATTCTTCTCTAAAATAATTGTAACTGTATCATAATTAATCATTTCATGTATTAAATGTTAATAAATATATACATATCCTATTTATGTCATATTTTCTTTTCAATATTTTCAAATATCAAAACTCATTTCAATTACGTGTAACAATATGTTTATTTTAACTCTCTCATGAAAGTTAAAAAATTCTCGATTTGGGCTGAAATTGGTGCTTCAGAAATGTTACTTCTCTGCACAACAAAAAGCTATTATCTCACTCTACTGCCACAAGAATTTTTGCACACACTACAAGCCTTGAATGAAGCTCCCATCCCTACATATATTAATGTGTAATGTGCCAGCCTATGATGTAGCAGCCTTTCAAAAGAATATGACCTTCCACTAGTAGAAGATCCACATGTTCTCCATGTGCAGTACTTCCTATGAGCAATAGCATTTAAACATAGGTTCATTTTTTTCCATGACAATGCTTTGTTTACACCTGTTTTTTTACCTAGAAATTAACAACATTTTTGTGATTATTATTTTAAACATTCATTACCATTCATATTGTAGTTTGTTTTTCTTTAATTTTCTTGATTATGAGAAAAAAGATACCAAATTTTATATATTTCAGTTTGAACTTTGATTAAATTATCTTCATTTAGATTTTTTTTCTTCTAATCAGATTTATAATTTTTGGACACATTTCCCATTCTCTGTAATAAGGTTTCTTTTTCAGTACTAGTTCCCATTGTTTGAACACAGCATTTGTGTTTTGGTGAGTACTCTTCAGTGACCTGTTTCTCTATATCATTGACATACCAGGCTAGTTTTATTTCACTAGCAGAGAAAGGTTAGTTTTGTGCATTGTGTGGATTACACAACCATATTTCCACATGTCTGACATTCTTCAACAGGTGTCAAACAATACTGATATCGTGAATGGAGACACTATGAAATAATACTGCCAACATTGTGCACTAGGTAGTTTGTCCATTTTGATCTAAGATCCAGGATTCTTATCCTCCTGGTTCTATTATTCCAGCTGAGCCTGTCCCATCTTTTGATGTATTTCACCAATGATTATTCTGTGCCTGCTTTTGCTTCTAATTCCTTCTTTCTGACACAGATCAGGTAATCCTACTTTCATTCTTCACTGCTTAGATTACACAGATATGTATCTTTTGTTTACTCCTTCTCCATTTTTTTTTTTGTTGAATCTGGGGCTACTTTGTTGCATGAGCCTCCATCACTTGAGTCTCTTCTTCGAACATGATGATATCCTCATTTTTTGCTTTTTCTCTCTTTCATTCTCCAGTTACTTGTTTACATCTCTTACTTAACCAATTTCATTGTCGTCTTTCCATGATTCACCTTATTCTTCATGGCTTTATTAGAGAACCTATACATACCTGTTTTCCACTTTATTTTCATTTCTTTCTTCCATTTTAGTAGTTAACTAGGATTCTGTGTTTCTGGGATGTATTTTGTCAGGATGCATTACATTCTGACATACACCTTCTTCAATTTTCTCTCGAGAACCTTTATGTTGCACACTTTCTTTGTGTTCAGTTTTTTGTTCTTTTTTGTGGTGTTTCTTATACTTTGGAATACTGAGCTGTTGCACAACATCAGCAGTTGCCTCTATTTACTTTTGTTTTCTAACTTTTTGGACCAGTGGGCTCCATTAGGTTTCTCTTCCTCTTCAGCTTTGTGAGGTTTCCTTCTCTCCTATTCCTAATTTTCTTGTTACCATCCAACATTCCTTGCTCATTTTTCTCACTTTGCACACCTGTGAACTACATTTTCAGCAGACTACTGGGTTAATCAGGTGCTTTCTCAAGGGGTTTTCCTGTCTTTATACTCTCCATTTCTCCTGAACAATTTCTCAAACTCATTCTGAGGTTTTACTCTTGGCTTTTTGTCATTCATACAAAGACAGACAGTTGGTGTGTTGTCATAGATCTGTCCAACTTGAACCAACTTTTGTTCAAAATTGATGGTTATCTAACTTTTCACTGGGTACTCTTCCAGGATGTGATTAACCCGGATAAAGGTCTCAAATGCTTTCTTCACATCCCAATTTGTCTGTCTGCCTTTTGGTTCCTTTGGTTTATCACAATGGTTGAACATTCAATTCACAGCCCTTCCTCTCAAATTGGCCACATTTTTCATTGCATCTGGTGGTCTTTCATTTAGAGGTTACATTCCTGAGGCTTATTATTTCTCTACTCGATGGATGTTTGGCCTCTGCTTGCCCCATCCAACATGGACTCCCTTTTCTTTTGCATCCCTTGTTTCTCTTGGACATGCCTATATGCATACACATTAGTATATTTTAGTCAGTCAGAGTCTTTTCAACTTCTGCTGTCATGGTAGCTCTCTTTATCCCATATGACCCTGGACATCCCTCTTCCTTCCACCTCACCTAGACTTGCATCTGCTTATAGCCCCTTACAGCTCAGTGGTAAGTCTGAGAGCTTTTAATAATTGCATATACATGTTTCCATACCTATGGTTCGCTCAGCACAACCAATACCTCTGTTCAGATGAGTTGCAATTCTGGACACCTGATCCATTTTCAGAGTGTGGTCTTCAGAGGATTGGTTTCCTTATATCTATGTGCTTGAGATATTGGCTGCTAAACAAGCTTGCCATCATCTTTCTCATCTGTCTGGTCTTTTTATCATGATCTGTTGTTTTTTTCCATCCACCAACAGGGAGGTTCTCGCTCGCTAGACCTCTGTTTTCCTAGATCTAAACATTTTTTTTGAGCCCATGACTACAATTTGCTGGTTGCCAGTCTTTCATGTCAAGGGAGCTTAGCTCCTGGTGGTGGATTGACTATCAATCTTGGACCAAATCTTTCCCAAGGAGTGGTTGTATGTAGAAGTAATTCCTCCTGGACAATAAAACAATAAATCACAGTGTGAACTAGTACATTGTTTTCAGCAAACAATAACAACTTGTCTGAGAATCATGCAAACACATGAAGCTCTTAGCTATATCTCAGTAAAACAATATACTTGGAGGGAGTTTACATGATGGCTTAGCAATATCTACAGTATAAGAACAAGGGGTAGAAGGAAAAATATTTGGCACATAGATACTCTGTATGGTGCAGAGAAGTGAAAATTAAGATATTAAATATTTTATTTTGAAATCAAGAAATTAAAACTTCTATAGTATCAAAAGTTGAATTATAAACTATGTTTTGATGCTAAGTTTATTGACATACATTCATAATATACTTATAAAAAATGAGAGATGCGCACTTTGCAGTTGAGTAGAAGAATAGCACATGTTCAATAGACAAATTTATCATTATGTAAGAAAGATGACCAACAAAGTAAAAATCTGTAACATCAGTGTATTTGAAAAAATAGTGGCATGCTAAGTTAACATTTTCTTGAAATGAAAATGTATTTCCAATAATACTTCCTCTCACACTTATAGCTATTACTCAACTGCCACAATTTCTTCCTTTGCCCATCTAAGCATTGGTCTGATTTTTTTTTGCTCCTGCCTTTTATACCCCATTCAATTGCCTTTGGCAATATTTATCTCATGACATTCTCCATCTACGTCAATGCTCCCTCTATCCTGGTACTGTATATAAGCACCTCGTTCAGATGTTATCACCTTTTTGAGACTGACTCAATTCCAGTCTCTAACGCTGGTCTGAGTGGGAAGGAAGGGGGGAGAAGAGTGTGAGAGGAAGTAAATATAGTGGAAATACATTTTCGATTTAAGAAAATGTTAACTTCCAAAACATACTTACCTCTTCTCACATTTATAGCTAGAATCCCATATTGATAAGGTGCAGGGGCCAGTGAGGGCATTATCCATACAGAAAGCATCTGCATAGATTATGGGTGTGTCAATAGAAGATTGACACCCTAGTGGGGGAACTGCACTACATCCAGAACAGGTATGCTCTTCACCTGGAACTTAATTCCTGTATTGTGGGTGGAATTTTACATGATTTATCATCCCTACATCCTACGTTGGTGGCTGGGCAACTGGATCACAAATATATATATATATATATATATATATATACATAAATACACTTATGGGTGGATTCCAACCTGTAGCCATAAAGTGATGCTTTCCGATCCACCGGAATTACAATAAGAAAGTAAGCAACACTGAAGTGGACAAAGTCTGAAAGGCAACACCCTAGACTTCAAATGATGGGATCATCTATGCCTTACTCAACCTGACGAAACAGAACTAATCCAGTCTGGAATTATGAACACTCATCCTCACTCCCCAACCATGTGGGCAAGGTAAATTTCATTTGCCCCCAGAATTATGGAAAGGATATGGAACAGTTGTGCTCAACAAGGACCCAGGATTAGACTGCTCTGTGTTTGGAATTACAGGTAGACAGTGGACCCTCTTCCATGAACAGTGTATTGAGCCACTATTGATCAAAAAGAAGGGCCATGCTCAACCCAACCGGATGGCCGAGCTTCATATCTGAATAGATATTACAAGTAGGCTGGTGCCACTCCTACCAACATCTGGGAAAAAACATTCAGGGCCCCAACTTTGCCCTCTTCTTCCAAGAGTGGAGAAATTCACTCTAACACTGTGGAAGAAAAGTCTCTGTCCATTACCCCAGTGACTAGAAACCAGGTGTGGTAAGGACTCCCTAGCTCCACTAAAAAAAAGCAAACTTACCCTGATTTATTCAATCCAATGATCAGCACGGATTGGCATGATCCCCTTATGCTTTACTCATGATAGTCCACAAGTGGCAGTCCAGCATAGTACAGTAATACCACCCAGTCAGCCTCTAGGCAGTCT